AGTGTAGTTAGCTCCTCCCTTCAAGCTGAATAAACTACTTTGGTAGTTATGACTCAGAGAAGTTACATATTCATCTCTCTATTGCTCAGATCTTATTGTACTATGAAAAAATTACCAAAAATTTGGAATTTTGGACATAGGGCTTCAGTTCCTAGTTAGCCAGAGTGTGGGGGACGTTTGGAGACAGTTTTTAAAATATTCCATCCAGTCCTTGTATTTGCAGAGGTCACTGGTGCTAGGCTAGTGCATGTCAATGGCCATAGTTAGCCTGTCACTAAAAACTGCCTTACCCACTCCACAAAACATCTGAAGTAAATCTATTATTATGTCAGGCTATCGATGTGAATGTCTGTGTTGATAGAATAATGCTTGAAATAAAACTAACCTTGCATCACAAGAATCATCACATGTTGAGGGACTATTTTCTCATATGTCAGTCCGCCGCTGCCAAGCTTTCTAACAGGAAGTACAACTCGCTGCTGCTGCTCAGACATAAATCCTTCAAATGCAAGGTTGGTTTTACTTCTAAAATTATTCTATCAACACAGATGTTCATATCTACAGTCATAATAAGAGAGTTGCTTCGGGTGTTTTGTGGAATGGGTAAGACTGTTTTTAGTGGCAGGTTAACTGTGGCCATTGACATGCACTAGCCTAGCACCAGTGACCTCTGCTGGACTGGATGGAATATTTAAAAAAAACTGTCTCCAAACGTCCCCAACACTCTGGCTCACTAGGAAATAAGGTCCTATATCCAAAATTCCGGACTGTCCCTTTAATTATCGTGACACACCTTTTTTCAAACCTTAAACAGGACTTTGGTCAGGAGTTCCTGGCTAAGGCACTGACTACTTTTGACTTTTTTGATGGGTGGAAACCAGAGCACTTATATTGTAATAAATACTATTTTGGAAGTATACAACCAGTCCAAAGAAAGTGTTGGTAAGTCCAGCCATTTTCTTTTCTTTTTATTGAAGTTTTTATACAGTAATAATGTCCACCCATTTTCATTGTTATGACTGTTGTCCAGAAGAACTATTCCTTTTTCATAAATGTTGTTTTAATAGATAAATTTGAGGAGTCAGTGTGTCTGTCTGGCTGGCTGCTCACATTGATGTGGTTGTAGAATTGTTTTTGGTATTAGTAATGATAATGTTATTTTTACCTTTGTAACATTTTGCCTATTTCTTTGCAGCTCATTGTCCAATCCAGTATCTCCTCTTAAAAAACAAAGGAAGCGCCACGCCATACCGCAGACATCTGTGGTTTTTCAGCTGTGATTCTGTGGATGTTGCAAGGCCATCCACAAAAATGACAGTCTAAACAGAAACTTTGAACTCAGAAAACCCAAGGCAAACACAAATAAATAAAGCAATGTAAAGATGCCCATATTAAATCAAACTTAAGTGTTCCCCTGGGCGACTTGGCATGTGCAGCTCATTGCCCCATTACGTAAGTGTTTAAAACACTTAAGACATGAAACAATGTGAGGGACAGGGAGAAATGGATAAGTACTGTACTGTATTGTAGTTAATGTGCTGTTACTTCAAATACTGGAAGTATTTCTTCAACAATACGGTAATTATAGAAGAAGTATTACAAAAGGCATATACTAAAAGGTACAAGTTGAATGCAAAATGACTCACTGAGAAGATTTGAGTAATGAATTGCCTTTAGCAGAGGCAGGTAGTACTCAGTTACATTTACTTAATTTTTTAGAGATATTTTCTTTAATTTTTCTCATTTATGGTATGACTTTTGAGTACCAGATTTTGTGCATTATTTAATGTTGTGTCCTTCAATTTAAATTGACTTAAAATTATAAATCAGATGTTACGCCCATACAGTTACTCTTGCATGAGTAGCTTCCACAAAAAGTTTGAGTAATTTCTTGGACTACTTCTACTTGAGTAGTATTGTTTTGAAGTTTACTCTTCCTTAAAGATCCTATATTACACAAACTTGACTTTTGTGAGCTTTAAACCATGTTATAATGTTGTTACCTCCTCAAAATCATACCAGGGGTTGTGTTTTGTTTTCATTCACATGTTTGAGTAACTTTTTATTATTAGTCTGTCTACATCTCCAAAGCTCAAAATGCTCCTTGTGATGTCATGAAGCGATAGTTATCAAGTTAACAGCTCTTTTTACCTTTTTGTTTAGGGATTGGCAATTCGAGGGCTGAAATTATCTAAATGATTCTAGTGAAGGTGTATGAAGTTTAAAAACACAGTGGAGCACTTTTTTTATTACCATTTGACATTGTGAGTCAAGTGACACTGAGTGTTTCTGTTTGAGAGAAGAACTCCTAAATAGCCTAAATATGCAGGGTTTGTGTGTTGAACTTGTGTGAGTGAAACAAAACAGTTTTATCAGAAAGTAGCGTGCTATGGGCCCTTTTACTGTACCCACCTCTGGCCTTCTGTAACCTCCGTATCCTTATTTGGTCCAGTGTGCTCTTCAGAGAACCAGAGTATTAAATCCATGTGCCAAATGTTAAATGTACTAACATGCAGGCAGGCATTCATGTTGTTGTCCCGAGCCCATGGAACATGTCAGTGCACCTTCAGCTGGGATCACAACAATAAATATAAAAAGTATCATAAAACTGCCTTACCCATGTCCTCAAAGCACTCCAGTATTGACACAGTGACATAGCAAAACACTACATGCTCTTTGATTAATGCTATTTCTGCCCACACTCTTTGAGAAAAGTGGGGCTGGATTGAAGCTGGACAAGTGTTTCACAATTTATGATATTAGTGTGTGCAAGGTGAAGCCCAGGACAAATCACAAGAGCATTCATATGATAACCAAGCTCCTCCCCTCTGCAAATAACCTCCGGCATGCAATTTTTAGATGCAAATTCAAGCTGATGTCATCAACTCTGCACTCTGAGATTTCCAAGTGGGTATGATGCTAACTGTAGGCTCTGCTCTGTCTGAAGCTCTCTTACACTTTAATAATCCGAGCTTTATTTTAACACACACGTCTGACCATAAAGAAGTGATTTAGCTGGAATTTTTGTTGAAAACCACCTAAACAGGACCATGAACACTCATATTGATCACAGGCTCTTTTTTGACAATGTTAATGGGTACATTGTGTCACCATGGTAACTGATAAACATTACACCATAGACATGCATGTAGAACATCCTCGCCGTGATGTCACTACAAAGTATCAATTGAAGATCTGTGTCATGCATGCACCAAAAATATAAAATAAAATCATTGAAATTCCCCGGAGAAGCCTCTTATCACTTGCGTCTGTTTGGAAATGCCAAAATCTGTGAGTAATTGAGGTTGCTCGGTAACCAAATAACAGAAATCCAATCTAAACCACAGACATGCCATACAGTTGTTGTATCCTTGGGCTAAATAGCTTGTATCCATTTGTTTGTTTCATTGTGTGATTGGTGAAGGTGATTGGTGAAGGCCACACTGAATGAATAATGCACTCTATTGTAGAACAGCTATAGTGTTTAGAATTTGTGATTTTCAGTTTCTTGAATGTGGTGATGTCAAACTCCCAGATGGGGGCAAGAGCCATTTTCCTATTGATTACATTGTTCTTTATTATGGAATATCTAAAAGGTAACGTAATAAAAGTTGAACCTGGTGATTTTTCTAATTGACTAGACCCAAGAACTCACTGTATTACTAAGAAAACTGGCATTTTAACAGTTTTATCTCTGTTAATTAATACTGACCTATAGCATGATGTAATGTCTTCTGAAACTCAGCAATAGAAGAAAAAAATTTTAAAGGTCCCACACTTCCTAATCAGAAAAATACCTGGAGTTCTGTTTTATTTCATTCACACATGTTTGAGTAATCCTTCATTATAAGTCTGTCTACATCGCCAAAGCTCAAAATGTTTCCACGTTAACTAATACCTTTTACCTTTTGTTCAGTAGAAGTTGGCAGTTCTAGCTCTTAAATTATCCAAATGATTCTAGTGAAGGTGGATGGAGTTTATGAATGAAACAAAACACAAACCTGAGTATGTTTGTGATGCGGAAACAACATCATAACATAGGTCAGAAAACAATGTTATATGGGCCCTTTACGCAACTTCATTACACTCCAGTACCACCTGAGTATTGCTTGATTGCCACTCTGGTACGGGTTAAAGGTGGAGTGGGACATCTTAAACTGAATCTGTAAGTATGCATAAAAGTGCTTTGTTAGCAAAACAGAGCCAAGTTTGGGCTGAAGCTCCTGGTGATTCTCCATCCACATCTGCCAAGAAACTATTTCCATTTGTCTGGTTAAGCTGTTAAACTCAGTTACATAACATCCCAGGCTCAAGCGCCCGTGACTCATTGTGTTCCCAAATATAAAGTCAAGAAACAAAACAAGATTCTGCAATTAGTTAAAGCCTGTGCTGGGTCGAATGTTTTTAAAGGGCATTCTTACAGATCATTTGCTAAACTATTTTATGACCTGCAGTATTTAGTACCTTCAATTTGAAGCAACAGAGAGAATAGCTCACAAGCTTCCTCTGGGCAGGGCAAAATTCTTGGTTTGCAAAATAACATTTATTGTATCGTAAAAATGCTCTTTAGTACATTTTATGTAACCTTCTCTGTTAGTTGTTTAGGTTTCATTTGTTGATGTTTGTTTCTGTTTTGTTGACATGACCTTTGACACAGATCCTTCTTGCTTACTTGTAGAGCAAAACAGTGACAATTATTTTAGACAATTCACTTGCTTTAATTCTGCAAATATTCATATATTTTTTAAACTTTAGCTTTGTTTTGCTCCAAATGTGCTTCCATGTGGTATTTTTTTTTTGGTGATTAGTTACCGTGGTATGTTCCCTAATTGCAATTAGATGAAAAATACCTTTAGAAGCACCCAGAATGAGACCAAATAAACAAATCAACGAAGTCTGGGCCACCTATCCCCCCACTGTCAAACTTTCTTTTTTCAACATAAAGTTACCGTAGGGTGATGGCTGATTGATGCTAATTCTCCATATGTTTGTGTTCTCAGATTACCGGCACTTGTACAACCACTGCCCCGGGCCTGAGTGGAGCGTGATGTGCAGAGGCTGCTGTGAGTACGATGTGATCCGCTGTAAGTGTCCTCTGCAAGGGACTCAGGTGGGCTACGCTGTGCCCTGCTGTCGCAACGCCATCAACGAGTGTGACCCCTGCATCATTCATCCAGGTACTGCAGCACTAAATGACCACTACTACTTTCACACAACAACTATGATTTAAAGATAAAACAATGCATATTTTAGCTTGAAACTATCTTAATTTGAGTCTTAAAATTCTGTTTCACATGAATTTGCTCTGTGTGCTGTGGCTCTAACATAGACTGGACCGTATTTTTTGGACTGTAAGTCACACTTTTTTTCATGGTTTGGATGGTCCTGCGACCTATATTCAGGTGTGACTTATATGCTAAAATTTTCACACTGACAGCCGTGAGATGGAGCTCTAGGCTTGTGTGCTCCTGTACCACTGTCACTTCACTCTACTGCGCATGTCAGCTGCAGAAGAAAGAGAAAGAGCCACTGTCCTGTCTGGTATCGTGTCAGTCGATCGCACCATTACTTCTGTATTGCTGACAATTTAAAATTTAAACAAACATGAAAACAACTGAAACCATCCTGTCGGGATTCAGAAAGGCCAGAATAATTCTGACTGGAACTGATGCTGAGTCTGACGACAGCTACACAGAAGAGGTAGCAGCACTCCGTTTACCTCTGGAGGTCGCAGAGTTGCTCAGAAGTGACACTGAGGCTGTAGAATTCAATGGATTTAGTGATTTGGAGTGAGATCAAGAGTTTGGTAACCTTGTTATTGTTGTTATTTTGTTTATGCTATAGTTATCTGAATAACTTTTCATATGTGACGTTAACAGTCTGTTGTTCTCTGTTCTTTTGTTATTACTATAACTTACCTTTCAAGATGAAATGTTGGTTCCTGGTCTCTGATTTTATAAAATAAATTTCCCCTAAAAAGTGTGAATTATAGTCTGAAAAATATGGTATATATAAGAGACATAGCTAACCTGTGAGCCGCCACTTTCCAAACAGGAAGTGAGCATGGGGGTGCTTCCAGCTCCATCGACTTTGGCTCCAGTTGACTTTAAAATGTTTGTATTAACTCACTCTACAGAATCCTGATGTTTTTATTTTGCAATTTTTTTCCATAAATATTCCTATTCCTAGTATGAACTCAGCTCCAAATTCACTCCTATAACTGCTTGCCCTGTGAGCTTCATTTGACTGGAGCTAAACGGTATGGGTATCGTCACACTCCCTTTCACTTCCAGCCCACTTCTTTAAACTGTTTATGGGCGCTACCCTTCTCTAGAGAAAAAAATAACTTGCTAAACTGGTGCTGTGTATGGGTTTCAGGCATATGATTCGTTCCTGATTTGAAGGACGTCCCCGGGACTCCCTAAAAACGTGGCACTTCGTCCGTGGGTGGGGCATAACGTTGTATTGGAACCATGGCAACCCACATTTAACCATTGTTTTCCAATTCACTTCTGCTGCCACGTCGAAAAAACTGACTTTTTGACAGGACCAAGCTGAACTCATACCTAAAATCATAACAAAAACACATCCAGATTGTCTTTTACTTTCTGTTGACGCATCGGGGTTGTACTTTTCTTCCCCCAAACACAGTTAAGCCAGAGAACAGCCACTTTGTGTTAGTGGTTATTCTCCAAATGTTCATTTTTGACAATATATTTATTCACAATCAGGTTCAGGCTAGGAGCAGGGTTAGGCTTAGGAATGTCTCTGGATCTTAATATTTGCTGTAATTACATCTGCTCATTATGAAATTAACCCCCTCCTTGAATAATACAGCAGCAGCAGTCTGTTACTTTAATTGCTAAGCCAAGCCTTGCCCCCCGGACTAAATGCCAATTTCCCAATTCAAAAGATATATGTTTTGTTTTGTTTTGCATTTAATTAAAGACAACAGAATATAACATTTATCAAAATACAATAATCAACATAAAAACAAAGCACAAAAACATAGAGCAACACCCACAAAAAATACAAAACAACAAAAACTGCCCATCCCCAACACACCACCCAAACACACACACACTGACACAAGTTTAATTAAATAAAACAAAAGTAATGTGGTAGTGCAGCATAATCAAACCGCTAAGCCTCCTTATATTGATATTTTGGCCAGTTTATAATTTAAATTCCTTCCCCCAACATAAACATAAATATTTTTAGTCACTTAACTAATATTATTTTCACCATCATCATTTCCTTTCATCATCTTTCACTATTTATTACAATCTTAAAGCATAATTTTAAAGGTATTTTTCTTTTTTAAATTAATATTAGATATAATATTTTGATCTGAATTGCTATAGCAACAGGACCGTCTGTTGCCTGAGCTTTAAACCCATGACAAGTCTTGACTTTAATCTTGAACACTTTGATTTATTGTCCCTGCATCCAGACAAACCATTACTTTACTACATAAATTTTAGTTTTTATTAGTTATGCAAAGCCAAGGTATGAACATGTTTGATTTATTGCATATTTATTTGCCAGGGTTCTGTTAAGAATTGCTCATTTGGTGGACAAAAAGACCAATTCATCCCACCTTTACAAACCAAACTTTTTTAAAGCAGTAGTGCTGAGCATCATGGGACAAATTCCAGTGTTAATTATCTTGATTAGCTAACCTTTTCTTCAAATTACCTTTAAACTTTACTGACTATTTGTACCTCATAAACAAAGTCTTCACACCACCAAGCTTCATCCTATCCAGTACCTATAGGCAAATAATACTATGCTTTCCTATACAATTAAAGCTTTAATAAAATCCACAAAGCCTGGAAAGTACTACAGTAAATTGTTGCCATAAGGTGCTACACATTCTTTTAATGCCATTTAACTTCACTTTCCATGGTAGTTTTTCAGTGCACAGCTGTTTCCCTTGTAGCATGACAAGCTATGCACAAAAAAATCTGAAAATCGCGGTTGTGTTATGCGTTTGATGTAATTTGTTTTTCCCTATGGCTTCACGGTTGGATTTCCAGATACTTGAGACTTGCCAGGGTACATTATCACATCAGGATAACTTGATTTGTGAATAAAATCTTTAAGCCCTATACGCACGGGATTAGTTTTGTCAAGGGACGTCTATAAAATGTAAATTACCCCACGACGTTCTTGTTGTTTATGTACATTCACATGGGATAAGCAATGTCAGTAAACAACCTGTTTTATGGACTTTATTCTCGAAATGTTGGAGTGATAAAAATAATTAATCAAAACAGGAACCTTTTACTTCATCATGACGCCAACATTGCTTTTGAACACCTTTTAAGTTTGTTTTTAGTAGAATGCACCTGCACTGTATCGTGTTTCTTACCACTCTACAAAAACTTAAATTATCTACCAATGGAACAAGTCTTTTTGTACTTAAAATAGGAAAATACACCTAGTATACGACACTAAAGATAAGAAAAACAACAACTCTTTGCATTGAAACTAAATCATATGTTGTTGAATTAAAAAAAAGACTTCATCCATAGATATTTTTGCATGGTAAGTCAAGTGAAACCTACTCAAATTTAAATGACATCCATGCGATTAGATTTCTTATGAAACAGCCGTAATCTTTCTCTGTTCACGCTGTACGACTCCTCCATCCAAACTTTACAAACTTTGCACCAAAAGCACCCAGCACTTCTCCTCAGAGGGTCCATAAGTTTGATTACGGTCCTAAGCGCACTTTCAAAATGTATTTAGTTACAGAATACCTGAACATCCAAATTAAAATGTATTGTCTAACGTATTCTGATACATTGGTCCTGTATTCTGAATAGCTGCATTTAAATTACCAGATTTTTCAGACTATAAGGTGCACTGGATTATAAAGCGCAGTGTCAATAATGTTGAATTCTCTCATCTTTTTTCATACATAAGTAGATTATAAGGTGCATTAAGTGAAACAAACGGACGACACTTGAGACTGATCCCTTAGCTCAGGCATCCACGATCCATTGGCAGATCATGACGTAACTTGCCCGGCATTTCCTCCCTGTCTTGGTGAATGCGTATTATGAATGTGAATGTGTGTGGATGATTTAAGTTTGTTTTTTATTTCCTACAAGGAGGACTCAAATATATACTGAATAATAATGTGTTTAATGCAGCTTTGTGCACATTTGGTTACGTTTTACAGAAACAAAACTTAAAACCACATGGCAAATTTGCATAAACTATAAGTACTGAAAAAACAGCTCACTCTTTGTGCGCTGCCATCAGCTTCTGTCAGACTTACTCCACGAGGCTCCTGACTACAGTAGCCATAATGCTCTGACAATCCATCAAGCGGTGCGGTTTCATAGCTTCAAAGTTGTACTAAAACAGCTTGACAGATTTTTGAGCGCCATGTACCACATAAAATCAGTTTGAAGTTAGTAATCACAACCAGAATTAATACAATAAGGCACACCAGATTATAAAACGCAGAAAATGAAAGGATTTTAAGTGTGCCTTATAGTCCAAAAAATACGGTATAGAGTAAAAAGGCAGCACTGGATTAAAACAATTTAATGATTGTTTCACAGTTTGTTTGTTTTTCCATGTCTTATCATTGACTAAAGAAGTAAAACTCACACATGCATTTGCTCAGTTTGAAGCCTAAATTGTGTGTTCAAGTAAAGTGCATTCCTTTGATTTTTACAAAAGTAATGACTGTACCTGAAAACATCATTATACATATTCTCAGTACACGTATTTAGTTACCTTCCAACACTGTTTATAGGCTTGTCTTCATATATGAGACATGTTTTAATTCTCTGAGAGGACACAAGCACCTGGGGAGGCGAGCTCTGTTACACGTGTCATACCCCAGACATGCAAAACCCCGCTTTATGATTAGCATGCTGTGCACCTATGTTTTCCCCATGCTCACGTTTTCACATTTTCTTTATAGGGAGAAAAGCAGCTGTTCAGAATTAGATGGATACCTCTGTGCAAGTTTTACTGAACAAAAAAGTGAAGTCTAAACCTTGTGTATGACCATAAATCATCAGTTTGGACTCAATTGTTAAAAGACATACCTGTAATCATAGTTAAGTGCTTGTTTTGACGGACCAGAAGCAGCTAAAATATGCTTTATAGGGAAAAGTTAAGCAATGTGTTGTCATCCAATCTGTCACACTGG